CAGGATCCCATACTCACTGTGGTGTGAGGACCCTTCTGAAATTCTAGCTGAGACTCCACTCTGCTGGCTCTGGCTGCCCCTGTGTTTACGTGACTGTTTCAGCACTCCCCTGGTCCCCGTTGTTCAGAGAGCTGTAAAGCTGTGCCTTGCTTGTTCAGTAAATGTGCTCTTACATCTATCTTCCTGTGAGTCAGTCTGAAGCGTTAGTGGAAGGCATCTTGAGTTCAGTGGTTTGTAGCTCTACCATGGCCTGATAACTGTTCAAACCTGTGTGTTCTCTTGAAGTGCAATATGACCCTAGTGCAGGCTTTGTCAGAAACAGGAGCAGAGAGGGTGATGCTAAGAGAGACCAGACAATGGATTTTGGAGCAGGAGTTGGAAGCCTGGTGGGAGATGAAGAGCGGGGTTCAGACTGCAATCACACAGGGTGTGAATATCCTTTTGGGCTGCATAGTTAGGACCTTTCCAAAAGTTTTTAAAAAGAGATTTATTTTTATTGGAAAGTCAGATATACAGAGAGGAATTTGCTCCATTCGATGATTCACTCTCAAGTGGCTGTAATAACTGGAGCTGTGCCCATCCAAGCCAGGAGCCCGGAGCCTCCTCCGGGACTCCCATGTGGGTGCAGCATCCCAAGGCTTTGGGCCATCCTGGACTGCCTTCCCAGGTCACAAGCAGATGGCTGCATGGCAAGCGGGACTGCTGAGGTTAGAACCGTCACCCAGATGGGATCCTGGCGCGTGCAAGGCCACTGGGTTACCACAATGGACCCTCCCAAAACTTTAAGGGTTGATGATGTTGTGACACAAACCAGATCACTCCAACAAATACATGTGATATGTACTAAAAAATGATGGCTGAGTAAATGAATACTTACACTTCTTCTGGAATTAAAAAATACTTTGGTAGAGCCCACTATATTCTAATTACTTAAACATTGAGCCTTTCTAGGTATTGTACCTTTTTTTAAAATGTAGGAGTTTCTTATTGGGTTATCTTTAACTGGTTTATGATGATACCTTCCTGTTTAAACTCTGCTCAGAGGGCGTGGAACAGGTATTTGGAAGGAGAGCCACACAAGTTGCTCTCATCATAAAGTGCTTTATGCACACAGCTTCATCTAGTTCATGCTTCTTTATTTGTAGTTAATTATGTCCATTTTTTTTCTTTCCAAGATTTTCAGAATTATCCCAAGTTTGAGGGGTGGGAAATTGATCAGTCTCATTTCTACAGTGCCCCCTGAGTCCTGGGCTTGAGCACAATGAAGTCACTTTGTTGAAGGATTAATTTTATATTGCATTCTTGCAGAGTTGATGTATACCCCTAAGGTATGGCTACCCCCACCGAGGAAATAAATATACCATTCTTTATGATTCCTCGCTCTTACTCTCTCTGTTGATTTTCAGAGAGTTTATGAATAGTCACATATTTGTACAACTGGCCAAAAGCATACTACTTACTTTTCTTATGGTCTGTAATAACCTATTCAAGGTTATTAAAGGGTATACAGACCCCTTTTAAGGTGAAGTTTGTTATGTCATTACTTTATACAAGCAGGTCAAATTCCAACTCCGCAACAATCTCCTGCTCCTAACCTTTTTCTCTGATTATAAAAGTAATATATGTTCATTGTGGGGAGCTTAGAGAGCACACAGGACAAAGAGGTGGAGAAAAGCACCATAAGATCCGTGCTAAGAAGTAACCAGTTTGTGCATTTACACAGTACACATTTTCTTTATCCTACACTCCTATGTGTTTTCGTTTTTTTTAAGAATGTAATCCTATTGTACATATATTCTGAACTCTGCTTTTAAGTTACCAATATATTGAATCTCAGCAAATTTTATTTTTATCTTCTGACAGTGATTTGGGGAATACATCATATTCTATTTCATTCTATTTCATGGGTATGTCATAACGTAACCATTATCATTCCCAGGTATTTAATGCTTTCAGAGTTGTGTGTGTGTACATGTGCACTTGTGTTTAAGTAGGGATCTTTAACAAATGAACCTTCCCTTTCAGTGATTGCCTTAATTATCTTCCTCTAGTTAAAGCAATCAGAAAAATCAGGTTCTTTCGAACTTGGGATCTATCATGTTAACTTGTCTACAGCCCTGGACAATTCCACTGTAATATTAAGGATTTTTATTGAGAGTAGATTATCACATTTTTTAAATTATTTTTTTATTGGAAAGGCGGATATACAGAGAGGAGAGACAGAGAGGAAGATCTTCTGTCCGATGACTCACTCCCCAAGTGAGCGCAACGGCCGATGCTATGCCGATCCAGAGCCAGGAGCCTCTTCCGGGTCTCCCACGTGGGTGCAGGGTCCCAAGGCTTCGGGCCATCCTCTGCTGCTTTCCCGGGCCACAGGCGGGGAGCGGGAAGGGAAGCGGGGCTGCCAGGGATAGAACTGGCGCCCATATGGGATCCCGGGTGTGCAAGGCGAGGACCTTAACCAGTTGCGCCACTGTGCCGGGCCCAAGAATAGATTATCACATTTAAAAGTATAAGAGAGATCAATCTGTAAAGTTGCAGGAAATGAAAACTTGCCCTTACAGTTTTGACTGTTTCTCCTGCAGTATATTTCATGGAGTAGGTGCTTATTTTTCTTTGCATAATGAATACCATGTCTAATTCAGCTACACTCTGGCAGCAGAATGACTTTTCCTCAGCTCTTTAGCTGTTACTTCCATATGATATCAGAATGGGTTCTTTTAATTGCTGATATTGTCAGCCATTCATCTGTGAGTTGACCAGACGGCCAGAACGTCACAGCTTTCCCCCGAGTACATCAGATAGTCATTCAGTTAATAGCCATGGGTTTCCAGACACAGTGGGAGTTGGATATGTTGATGTTGAAAGGGTGAGCCAACAATTCAGATTTTACTGGTGACTTGAACTAAACACTGAGGCCAAAAATTAAAATTTCTAAGTTGCCAAATTATACTGCCGTGTATTAAAATGATACATTTAATTATCTAAAGCTGTGATGAATGGTTATACATTTTTGTTGGTAGTCAGTGTTAAGGGTGTGGGGGAGATATGATAAGTCCCTTACTCGGTGTCTCTCATGTATTCCTTGACTGAGTACTGTGGATTTTATGAGTAAGATCTTACCTGCGTCAAGCCCTATGTTTTCTTCTCTACAAGTCTAGTTTGAAAAAAAAAATTCTTCTCAGGGGTTTAGAAAGTAATTCATAAAGTGGGAGGAATAATAAATATTGTGCCTTAACTCCCAGAGTCATATATGAGGGGGGCGGGCTTGATACACCTGGGTGTAATTTAGTTAATTTCCACAAGAGGTTGAAAGTTTACTACGAGGAACAAGGGGAGGATTGGCAGAATCTCATAGTTACAAAACTGATCAGGTTATCGTACATGAAAATGCTGCTCCTTTAACAACTTCAGTAAGCACTGCATTTGGGGAAAAAATCTTTTTAATAAAAAGTTACCTGAAGTTCATTCTAACTTAAAATATACAAGTGAGGAGAAAGTACTTATTCTGATTTATGTGTCTTTTGGAGGCGTAATTATTGGCTTTTTACTCACCTATGTAAAACAATGTACTTTTGTAAATGGATTTCTGGCCACTTTATGCAGTCTTTTTTTTTCAGTCTTTTTTTTTTTTCTTTCTTTTCTCTCTCTCTTACATAAAAAGTAAGCACTGTCAATCAAGGAATTTTAAGGTTTATTTCCTCTTTAGAAATGATTGATAGCCTTTTAGATTTACAAGTTGACAAGTTAAAGGGTTCTATTGGTATAATTATGTACTAAATTCACAGTCTTTCAATTTAAATGTCCTTTTAAAACCACAAGATTATCATACCTGTATTTTGAAAAGTGGGCCAGTCAGTTTGGGTTGGTATACAAATTGCTTCCATTAGCCTTGGGACCTATTTGAATTTAATACAGTTTTTTAAAGTTAGTAGTAGTATGAATCTTACTTTTAAAATTTAGGTTAATGGAAATGCATTTTAAGTAACGCATGTGGCATCTTGCTTCCTAATGTATAGCTGGATGTTAGACCTACAAAGACTATCTTTCTATTAAGTATGGGAAAAAAATGTGGTTGAAACTTGTTACACTAGAAAAACAAGATAATTTTTTAAAAATGCACACCTATTCATTACTCAGAGAATGTGGAGGATATGGGTAGAGGATGGGGCTGCCATCTTACCCATTATTTTGGGTGAAATGGGCTAGAGCTATTTCATAAACCATGGAGGACTTTTAAGTATGATAAGAGTCCATGTAAACGTTGTTTAAGGATACTTTGAGGATTGTGTAGTGAATATGGGCACAGCAGGCCAATCGCTTCCAAATTGTAGTAAACAATGAACTAAAAAAAATCTTTTTAAGATTTATTCTTGGGATTCAGCTGCTATAAGCTGCTTCTCCACTGAGACTGGTATGCTGTGAGGTTTTGAGCCAGAGGCATATTCCATATCCATCACTTTGCAGACTCTATCAGACTTTCCCACACCTGGAAGACCCATCCCTACCCATTCTCCTTTGCCACTCACCAATTTCAGGCTTATTTGCATGGCAGGCACTGAGATAACTGTATCTGTGAACTATACGGAGTTTTCTATTATGCAACTACTTTTAGTTCCCCTGCTATTGACAATGCATATACAGCTTGCACAATCTTTTTTTTTTTAACTTAAGCCTGAACTACAGTGAATTCTAAAAGTTCACATAAAATACTATTTTAGTTTCTAATTTATGCTAATCTAAGGAATGCGGCATTGGTTTAAATGTGTGATATTCAAGACCTAGTATCATTGTTCTTGTGAGTGAGTCACTCCCTTCTGGTAAACAGAAATAGATGGTGGAAATCTTCATCAAAGAGAATATTCATCGATCATTTTATAACCCATTTCAAAAGTCTTTACTAAACTTTGTATCTATAAGTTAAATGTATACCATCAGCATTGCAAATCGCATTCTGCTTTATGTTCTGAAAATGTCTTGTGCGATTTTTTTCATTGCAGCTCTCAATGAACCCACCATTGATTATGGCTTCCAGAGGTTACAGAAGGTCATTCCCCGGCACCCTGGAGACCCTGAGCGTTTGCCAAAGGTCAGAATGCTTCCTCTTTGTGTTATGATCTCTGGAAACTTGGACTTAATAGGAGAAAGCCGCCCCTGATGCAGTTAGTTCATTGATAAGCAACATACTTTTGTGCTTTGTAGTATACGTAGTGTACGTATGTGCTAGGTAACACTGCACTTCGCTTTTACATATTTATGTCATTTCACTCTCAGCATCCCTTTGGGATCGGTATGCATAGTAATTTTAGTTTAGAGGAAAAAATAATGAGACAAAGAGAGGTTAGTTTGCCCAGGATCATATAACATGTAAATTGCTACATGAAAGTCAAACCCTAACAGGTTGATCCCAAGGTTTGAGCTTTTAAATCACTGAATCCTACTAATTCTACTAATCCTCAAGAGGAAAAGAACACCGAATTCCCATTTATCCTGGCGAGGCAAGGACAGATAGTGCACTGCAGAAAACATATTGGTAGACCCCTGAGTCTAAGAAAATGAAACAGCCTCTTTTATTCTTGAGACATTCTACCTACTTGGGACATAAAGTTCAAATATGTGTGGAGTTTAAAAATTGAGACAAAGAAATATACGTCAATATTATTGTTTTTTGCAGCAATTGACCTTTATTGATTATTGCATAACTGTTGTAAAAGTTGGAGACCGCTCCCATCTCTGTATTTGAGGAGGTTGCGATCTCTGTGGGAGACATTGCCAAACACAACCAATCAAAAGCCAAAGGAAAAAAGTCACATCTGTTTAGTCAAAGTACCAGCAAGTTCTGTGAGGACTCTTTGGCTGAATGCCAAAGAGTCTGAAGTACAGATTTAGTTCCTTCCTGTTACTGACGGCACAATGAAATATGCTGCATCGTGACATGAGAGGTCCTTTCTATGCCATAGTAAGTCTACAGGTGCCATTTCTAGGGGGTTGGATACTCAGAAATGATAGAAGACTGAGGTTGGCATCCTTCCTAGTTCAGGCAGCCTCCTTGGGGGCTCAGCTCACCATCAAATCTTAACTGTGTGCTGGCTGTGCATGTAGCCAGTCACCTGTCGGAACAGGTCTGGTCCGGTGAAGAGCTGCTCCTTGGGTCAGAGGGCACAGAGGTAAGGGATGGAAGTGAGGCAGAGACAGAAAGACCTGTGACATGCAAGGCCTCTGTCCTGCGCCTTGGCCTCAGGAAAAGTATCACCCAGCCTTCAGCTTCACTTGGACTAAAGTGCTGTTCACTTCGGTAAAAACTGCATGCTGCCATTTCCCCTGAGGAACGGACCACAGGATGGGTCAATATGTTTGCATTCTGGTCTTTCAAAAAGTCCTTGTCTTCCTACTTCCATCCTGACTTATACTTGTTTAGCAATTTGAAAAACCAAATTATAATCATGAATGGCAATGCCCTTCCATGGTGTAGACACTTCATAAGAAGGTTTACCTTTCAGCTCTTCCGTCTAGCAAGAATGTCACTCTTGGGATTTATGGAACAATTTGGTAATTGTATAGCACAGTGACATAAATCATGTGTATTTACACAATGATCCATTAGTGGTGGTAAAAGAGAGGTATTGGTACAATACCAGATTCTTGCTATTGGTCCAATTTGGGGGCATGTCTTCAGTTTTGAGTAAGTGACTTTGTATTCAGTCTTTAAGGCCTGCCTGTTAGAAGAGTTCAGGGCATAGATTGGTGAGTCCATGAGGTAGAATTCAGTTTAACCAGTTACCAGCTCTGGAACCTAGGTCCACAGTCTTTAATCCTCTGTTCCTCAACTTTCCTATCTGGCAAATGGGAATAGTGATATTTTCTACCTTGTAAAACTGTCAGTCCCTTATTTAACTCTCAACAAAAGGGGGCTGTGATTATTTGAGGGTGAAACACTTCTGAGGACTCTTTCATGCAATTGATGCAGAGCAAAAAAAAATCTGACTCCTGATAAGCAGCTGAATATGTGATTCAGATTAAATGCCTCACTTTCTCAGTCTGTATAACAGGGATAATAATCATAGTGTCCTCCTAGAAGTTATGTAAGGATTCAGCATCATCAGCATCTATTCCGTGACTGCCACTCTAAAAAATTATTTAAAAAAAGAACATGAATCTGGTTTTATGATTAAACTCTAAATAAGCAAGTCAAGGCTTTTCTTATTTCCAAGGAAAAGACAGAAATAGTAATATTTGGTTCACTTGGTATATTTACTATCAAGACCATTTTTATAGTTGCAATGTTATGCTCAGAAATGTTGAACAAATAACATAGGCACGTGTCCTTTTGTCCCTGGTGGCCCAATGGTGAAATTCTTAGCCCCCCTTTCCCCGGAGCTTGGGAAGAGTAATCAAGGACACAATGGATTTGTGTGTTAAGGAAACACTCCACAGCTTGCATGTAGCCACTTGACCATGCAAGGACGGTGGCTGTAGCCCACCCCAGGAAGCTGTTGGTGTGACTCAGAGTGGAGTGGCTGTCCTCTTGGCTCTGGATGTTAAGGTGGAGCAAGAGTTCAAGGGCAGGGTCAGGAAGTGGCGGATGGAGCCAGCACAAGGTATTCCCGTGGACTGGGGAGATTTATACTCCTGCTGTCCATTGTTACAGGGATAAAAGAGGGCTCCGCCTTTCTTAGAATCATGGTCAGTGTTTGTCAAACAGGAGTGTTTCAATGAGCGATGGACCACACACCTTAAAAAACAAACTCCACTTTATTAAATCCATGTGTTTGTGAATAGACAATGCTAGATTCATACAACCACCCACATATTCTGTCAAATGGAACTGCTCCAAAGACCTAGCCGACAGCTTTCCATAATAATATGCCTTTGTATACAGGCTTGTGTTTTTTCAAAGGACTTGGGCAGGCTTTGTTTTATTGGCTCCCCTCTTGTGAGAGAAGTCAGGAAAGCAAACATCGTTCCCATTTACCAAATGGGAAAATAGGAGCAAGCAAAATCCTTTGTAAATGATGTTGTCCCTGAAAGTCACCATCAGTGATAGTTGCTGGACACACACATTCAAGATACTGTAATTATGCTAACCCCAGATGTTTTTCTTGGTTTCTTTTTTATGTGCACATGGAGAAAAGGAAAGCTAAGGTTTAAATCACAGCATTCTCTTCTGTTTCACACAGCCTTGTCTTCCTCTCTTGGATCTGGGCAGGATGGGGAGGAACATGTGTCCGACTTTGGGGTCACAGTCGGCTTTTCTTGCAATGTAGAGGTGAAGATGATGGGTAGGTACTGTGGTGTGGTCAACCAAGAGCTCTGAGGTGTTGGCAGCTACACTGATGCAATCCTGAAATATTGAGCCAGGCGCTGTCTGTTTTAAAGACCAGGGTGTCTTTATCCTCTTGAATTTTTCACCTGTCTTCATGAGCATTCTAGTTTGCCTGCAGTTAGAACAGAGCTCAAGCTAAGCTCATGTGCTGTTCCTTAGCTGTGAATCAGGGAGACCAAGGCAGTACTGACTTCAGGCCTAGCGGAACCTGGTGCAGCCTGATTGAGGCCACTACAGGTTCTGGAGACCAAGGGAGTGGTACTCTCAGGGCAAACAGATGTGCATTTGGAAACCAGATCTACTGCCTGGTACGAAGGATCCTACCTCCCAAACCTGAGGTTTCTCTTCTCTGAGGCAACTGCCCCTCAGCATTGTTAGATGTTAATAAGATAATTTATGCTAAGTAGTATCCCTGTTATATAGAGACTCCAGTAAAAGGGGACCAGTAATCCGCGTGTAATGATTATTACCCATTTTACAGATGAGGAGTGGCGGCCCCTGGGGGTCTGTGACTTGCCAGGACTTTATGGCTAGCAGGTGGGAAAAGAAAGACAAAAATCCAGGTTCCTGGGCCAAGTATTTCACTGCTTCCCACTGTGTGGACTTCGACTTGTCCTTCAGCTCTTGAAACCCAAATAATTCTGCCTTAAGATGTCCAACTTCTCTCTCCTATCCCTTGTGGACAGCAAGCCCCAGCACTCCTTGCATTCTCACCAGCTTTCCTTCCATGCATTTAGAGGGCTGGGATGGGAAACTTAACAGGGCAAATGTGGATTTTTCTCTAAGAGCCAGTCTCTGTTTTAGTGAAAATAAGACAGTTTGACAAAAGTAACAAAGGCTGCATTTGTGTATTTTGCTTTATGGAGCTGAAAATATCTGGTAAATTGATCCAGTGGGAGTAATAAATACACATTACTTTATCTTGTTCTTCATGTCCTATACCCCTGAGCCTTGATAGAACAACACCACTTAATAGACTTAAAAAAGAGTAATTACACTCATTGGTTGTGTGATTTTTCAGCCCTCCCAGCCCTGCCTGACCTTCTAATTTAGCTCACCGTGTCTAAGTAATGCATTTATATTCATCTTTTATGAAGCATGTATAGTACAGACTTGACTTTAGAACCCTGTTCAAGCTGTCCACCCAGGCTTCCAATCTGGTTAGTGCTAAGACTGGGAACCATCCATCTCTATATGTTTGCATGTATACATAGCATATATACAAGGCCTGAAGCATTTTTTTATTCTTTATGAAACATTATAAAAAGTATTTATTACATTTTTACTTTAAAGCTTTTATACATTCTAGTATTATTTACAACTAAACATGCAGGGAAAAGATGTGTTTTTAAAATGATTACTGTTAATGTTTCTGCTTGTCAGAAGTGCTTAAATTTCCCTGCACTTTGTCTAAAAACTTGGTACTGTTGCCTTTTAAGAACAACACATTTAAAATATCTTGCAAGTTAGATTTGCAAACACTGCTGACAGTTTGTGATGAATGATATTGCAAAATTTGCAAGATGTTTGTCATTTTGCACAGACAACATATTAAGGAATGGATTAAGAAACTCAAAACCACTATGGAAAACAACCACCCCAAACAAACCTCAGCTAAACCTTGAACCTAGAGAGCATGCCAGAATCTCTCACCCAGGTTTTCTCTCCCAACTTCCCACTCAGCTCGTGGAACCCAATTGTTCTCAGTGCATTTTCTCTCACCATATGGTCTCCTCATTACCATACACTAAGAGTCCATATGGGAA